GCTTGTGGCCAGTCCTGAATAAAATCCACAGAATTCCATAAAAATCTCTGCAGACTTCATGATTTTAACTGCTGTTGTTTTCGAAGTTCTGCACATCTCTGCATCTTATATTTGTTTTTAAATTCAATATTTTTTTGATAATGAGTTTAATTGAAATCCATTCCATATCATTCTTTGTCCTCCACCATCAGCACAGAAAAAGTATGCAGATTCTGTATGGATCTTATGGCTGACCAAGGGGTGTGTGTATAGTGAAACCAGCTTCTTTCCCATGCTCTTGAGGAGTCAGTCTCCTCAGTTGTAACTACATGAGGGCTTTAAACAGGTTAGTTCGCACCGATACATAACACAGCTGGGTTCACATGATATTCAGTGTAACCCAAGCTTTGCCTCTGAGGTTCTCTGATATCATATACATGCCAAGGTTCTCGGCTTTCAGGGGCTAACAGAATTAAAGCCGCATGAGGACAACCAGCAAAAAAACAAAAAATCTATATTTGTCCTATGAGGGTCAATTTCTGCATACCCTGCAATAAAAAAAACAGTTTTTCTTTCCTTAATCCAGCAACCTTTGTTAAATGAGCTGTACTTTGAACATCAATGTATTTCAGTGTCGTATTTATTTACCCGACCGCTGCCTTGCAAAAAAGTTCAACCCTTTGAAGCATTAGTGTCGTGTCATAGAGTAATAAAGAGAGGAAACGGGTAACCAGATCCATCTGCCTCAGCAGTGCATTCACACGCCTTTCCAGTATTCAAAGCCAATGCGACAGGACAATTTACAGGACAAAATACTTCATGACTTTAAAAAAACATGAAGTATTTGTACACTCTAAAAAATGCTGGGTTGTTTCAACCCAACTTTGGGTCAAATATGGACTAACCCAGCTGTTGGGTTAAATTTTTACATTAAATTTTTAACACAAAAGTTGGGTTAGTCCATATTTGACCCAAAGTTGGGTTGAAACAACCCAGCATTTTTTAGAGTGTACACTTCATATGGTAATAAGCCTATCTGCATTGCTTTAGAATCACCTGACGGAGATAACTGTGATTTGTAAATGTTAGTCAAAACCACAATCATATTTTGTGCATGTTTTGCGCAGCTTGTCAGTGAACAACGGCTCTGTGTAGTAAATGCTGCTCCATGTGAAAGCCCGCACGTGATTAAGATTTACCGCTGATTACAGAACCGGCTTTACTGACAAGATGCGCGTTAAATATCGCATGTGATTTATCGTGCAGCCCTAATTGCTATCCAGTCAATCTAACAGGCTAATATTTACAGCAACGAAATCTTGTTATTACTATTATTATTAGTATTAGTAGTATTGCTATTAAGTATACAATTTAACATGTTACACAATAAAACAAATACTTAATTTAAACTAGTATTATATTATATTATAAATTTTGTCATTAATAAATGTCTGTGTATTAAGCTTACACTGCAAGGGCTTTTTAATTGTAATTATTTGTATTGCAATCAGTTGTCAGTTAAAATTTCATTGTTATGACAGCCCTATAGGGTTGTGACGGTGAGGAAATTTTCCCACCAGTTAATCGACGTGTGACAACACCGGTAATACCGGTATCACCGGGGGGGGCGGGGCGTTCCCTCTTTTCCTCGCTTTCCGTCGCTTTTAAATAGCTTGTAAAAGCAGCGTGTGCATTTTACTTTAACTTTGAAATAGCGGCAATTCGGCGTAAAGCAATTGTTTGTTTTTAGTTCGTTTGAATTTTCCCTCTTTTCCTCGCTTTCCTTCGCTTTTAAA